CGCTTTTGTAGATGAGTAAAAGATTTTTCAAGTAAAAGTCAAAAAACATGTATTTTTTTCAATTTTTCATCATATTTTTTTATTTTTTTTAAATTAAAATACATGAGATTATATAAATAATGGTATGTAAAGAAAGCGCCTTTTGTCCTGAAAAAAACCAATATATAATTTGTATGGGAACAGTAAATGAGAGAGCGGAAAATTACAGCCAAACACAAACACCACAAAAGTGTAAAAATATGCCTGGTCACAAATGTACAACATCGCAAAAACAGTCCAGTCCTTAAGGGGTTAACCTATACATCCACAACATTTCCTGATATGTTAGCTTCCTAACTAATTCACCCCCTCTCCACGGAATATTAACTTTTAGGTGAATAAGGGATTATTCTAGCCTCGGTGAGGGAATAATCAAAATTTTATTAAAGACAGGAGGCTTGTGGATCCCACACGGGACACTTAGAGACATGGAGCAGTAAATTGCATTCCCCTGGCAAACTCTGGCAATAGAGGGGAGCACGGAGGACTCCTCCGAAGGGGTGTGGCCAGGAAAACGACACTCCCAGGAGTTCGGTCTGACGCCAAAGCCCGAAGTGTACTGTAGGGAAACGGGATGCATACTCCCTGAAGGAGACCAAGCTTGGATAATGCATCCATCGCCTCGCTGAGGGTCCGGAAGCCAGCTGAAGAACCGTTCCGCATGGCGGTTCGCACCGATTGTCATCATGCCAGTACTCGAGACCCCGGAGGATGAAGCAACCAATCGTTGGGGTCTCTCCTTGGTTGGGTGAAGCCGTCCGCTACACGAGTGTCTCATCCCGCAGACAATCTGTCACAAATGACCAATTCTTGTTCAGGCGATATTAATAGAGATCCTACGTGAGATCCAACTGCAGTCCGGAGTGGGCAAGCGGTGATAAGTCCATGCCGGAAGGCAGCGAGCGGTACTACTTCCCCTGGGGAATCTGCAAATGGCGAACGAACCTGCAGGTAGTTCCATGCAGTTGGCGTGAAGCGGTCCCTCCACCGGAATCCAGAGTTCTCTTGTGGTCACGCCATTGCAGGCAACACCCCGTCCATCCGGCCGGAGTCGGAGTCCAGGTCGAAGTTTGGTTGGGGTCCGAAACTCCTTGGTAGGCCAAGTCCTCCTATGTCAGAGTCATCATTTAAGTTTTAGATGAGCTTCAACCGAAGGTCACATGATTCGGTCATACCAGGCCGAAGACCCGAGAAAACGTCATGTTGGAGCGTCTGATAATACCAGATCCTGGGGATATGGCCTCCATGGTGGATAACCTGGGGATATGGCCTCCATGGTGGATAACAAACGGTCCATCAACCGGGTTAGGTCCCTAAGTGTGACCCGCGGGTTGTGGAGCATGTGCCTGGTATTTTTCTTGAAGACGGATATCTTGGTCCTCGGGAGGCGGAGCACCACCTGGACCGAATATTCCATGAAAAACCAGAAACTGGGCTGACTGGTAGTGAGTCAGATCCAATATGTCCACGTTGATGGCAAGATCCATGCAGATTTCTCTCATGTCCAGTTGAGAGAGAAAAAACAATCGTCCACGCAGAACAGCTCTCTTAGGGGACGAATGCCCCGTCTTGAAGTGTCAACAGGCGATATATGCATTGGGAGCATGAAGCGTGGGAATGGGGGGGGGGGACTTCGGAGTGAGCCGGAACGGACATGCGTATCACTCATGGAGTGGTCCAAGGTTCAGCAACATTAAACCTGAGTCCGGGAACGGTCTGAGAGACCTCTGGGACTAGTGAGGAAAGAGCCTATGAGTAGAAACGTGTTGGCTCAATTTGTACGTGAGGGTTACTCCGGAGAGCAGAACCAGCACTTTGGATGCCAAATCCATCAGTTTGCTGTCCAGCCTGGATAGGAGATGTTTTGCGGCTCTCAGGGGTAGAAACCAAATAGGTGATTCCTATAGGTAATATCGGCCCATTCTCAATGGGGAGTTAGTCTTCTCCGCTTTCCAAGCTGTAACGCGTCGTTCGTCCTGAGGAAAATATCTGTGTCCGTGTGTCAACGACATCCAGTGGTTAGTCCCGGAGAGAGTGCAAACCCTGCATCAGGTGTTTGCGGGGTCCATTCCGGACTCAATCATGCAGACTGATCCTCTTGATGAATCCATCTGTCAGCCAATGAGTACCAGGGGTGGGAAGGGTACCCTCCTTATGGGTATACCCAGATGCTGCAGGTCCAGCAGTGCAGACTGTAGGAGGGGTCCACCCTCAGTATGATAATAATAGGACATTGCCAGTGCATTAGTGTAGGAAGCAGGAGGGGGTCACCCTCAGCGTTAATACTACAGGGCGCTGTAGGGCCAGCAGGGTACTCATCGGTAGCCATGTTGCCAGAGGGAGGGGGTCACCCAGCCCACAATGGTGTCATACGTCCATTATTATGGTCCAGTAGAAGGCAGTGCCCCAGAAATATTACAGGGGGTGACACCTACCCTGACTATAACAGGGTTGTATGTGGAGCCAGTTAGCCCACCTGATGGGTAGAAGGGAGTGCCTCCATACAGATTGAAGCTGACTAAACACATCTACAGACCACTCAGGTGGCCTAGGGCATGGTGAACTGCCTCACTCTGCCACAGAGTAATATCAGCCTTATTATGATACATTGTTGAAGTGTATGTATAGTGGAAAAACTGAAGTCCCCTGCAGGAAGCGCATCAAGTCCTAGACAGGGGAGCTAGATGCTGAAAAGACCATTTAATTTATGAGAAAATGACTGAACCTGAAGAAAAACTTGATTAGCATATGTCACATATGGTAAAATCTTTTTAAAACAATGATTTTTATTTGAGCTGTGGCATGCCCCTTTAAATCTGAAATTCTCATTTATTTAGTAAATAACCGTGACAAGTCTACTGCTAAGATAGAGAAAATATTCACATTGCATCAAACAACATAGTAAGATGCAATTGTGAGCTGTGAGTGAGACAGGCACAGTAGGTAGAGGGTTAGCCGAAACTGGGCTATCTCCCCTGACACACAGGGGTAGTGGAGGCTGGCCTCATGGCCAGCAAGCAGCAGGGCAACTCGGTGGGTGAGACCAGGCTGTTCAGAACGCACGGAGTCCATGTGGCTCCGAAAAAATGGCCACCACTTCTCCAACAAAATGGCCGCCGCGGCCAAAATGGCACTGCCGCGGTGGAAAAATGGCTCGGCAAGCAGCCAGGGGCCACGGGGAGCAGGGGGGAATGAGGGAGAAGGAGTATGGGCGACAGAGCCCAGAAGAGAATCCCAGGGAGGGGGAGCAGATACAGGCAGAGCAAAACACCATAGCAGGGGGCGGGCACCCATTCCACATGCAGCAAAGTGAGAAAACAGCATGAAGAAAATAGTATAATAATACATCAATGAGCAGTATCCAGTGATATATCAGATAAACAGCCTAAAAATACAGCAATAGATGGTATAAAGTGATACAGCAGCTAAATAGCATGAAGTGGTATAGAAATAACATAGAAGAAACTTCCTAGCTAAATCCAGCAATAGACTGCCTAGATAAACTCAGCAAAAAAACTGCCTAAATAAACCTAGCAATTAAACTGCTTAAATAAACAAACATCATGTAGGAGAAAAAACAACCCAGATCAGAGACAACTCTGAGTTGGTGAGTGCTCACCTGGAGGCAGCGGCAAAGAAAGAGGAAGTGCAAGGGCCTGCCATGAGTGGTTTTATCCTACTGTTTTGAAAAGTTCTGTTAACTATTTCTTTGCTGCTGGAGGTTTTCAGTAAAGAAGGTAAAGCAAATATGAAGCCTCTTGTCCTGCCATAAAATTAGTTAAGAAACTAACATATCAGGAAATGTTGTGAATTTCTAGGTTAAAAACGTTGGCACCATTTGGTTTGAATGCTGAGTTCAAACTAACCATCGAAGAGCGTGCCTTGTGCCCGTGGTCTGGGGTTTTGATGCCCAGATTCATCAGCTTTCTGTCAATACGGAGGAGTGCTGCTATGCACTTCTCAGAGGAAACATGTTTCCGACGAAACAGAGACATCTCTGTACCCATTCACAGTTATCATGAGCCTATTATCGGATGGTGCTGGTATCGACAGGTATTTTATCCTTGAGAGAGGGCCTATAGAGTCCAGCAATTTGTCTTGGGCGCCTCTGAATCCTTTCCTAATTCCCTTGCGGGGTCGCAGCCACCCATAGGCATGACTGTCATGCCAAGGGTACATAATTAATTGTTGCACAGTAGAATATTAATGTTTATGTGTAGTGCATATATGAATTGACCACTTGGTAAAGATCAGATGACAGAAGGGGTAGTGTGAATTGCATAGGAATGTGAAAGGGAGCAGATGATTTACCATATGCATTGATCCAATGTAAACTAGTTGAGTTCAGCCATATGACCTCTTCCTTTTAATTGATGAATGGATTTCTTTGATATGTTAATGATTGTTAGCTTTCAAGAAAAGAGAAAAAACAACTTGTGTTCCTGTATCATATCCAACAGAAAGAAACATTATATTTACCCACAGAATAATAATTAAGCCTCATTTTTGTTATATTTGGAATCTGACCAGCAAAATCTTCTTGTGATGTCCGCTATATTGGGTCACAAGCAGGGGCGTTTTAGCCGCGAGGCAAACAAGGCATTTGCCTTGGGCGGCATTTTTCAGGGGGCGGCAAAAAACGCCGCCCCCCAAATGCACAGGGCAAATGCCTTGTTAGCCTGGCGGCTAATAGACATGCTGAGCTGTGCGGGCGGCGCTGGGCAGGCGGCTGGCGAGGGAGCACTTCCCCTGAGCGGTCTGCTCAGCTCCCTCGCCAGCGCCGACCGCCTGCCCAGCGCCGCCCGCACAGCAGCCACTGGACCACCAGGGAGGTAATGAACCCCTTTCCCCCCAGCACTCCAAGAGGTAAGGAGGTGGGGGGGGGAGTGAATAAAAAAAAAAAGTGTTAATGTGAGTGAGTGAGTGTGTGTCTGTTAATGTGTGAGTGTGTGTGTCTGCTAGTGAGTGAGTGTGTGTCTGTTAATGTGTGAGTGTGTGTGTCTGCTAGTGAGTGAGTGTGTGTCTGACTGTCAGTGAGTGTGTGTTTGCCTGTGAGTGTGTGTCTGTTAGTGTGTGTGTCTGTTAGTGTGAGTGTGTGTCTGTTAATTTGTGTGTGTTTGTTAGTGTGTGTGTGAGTTTGTGTGTGTGTGTCTGCTAGTGAGTGTTAGTGTGTATGTGTGTGTCTGACTGTGTGTCAGTGAGTGTGTGTGTGTCTGCTAGTGAGTGTGTGTGTCAGTGAGTGTGTGTCTGTTAATGTGTGTTTGTTAGTGTGTGTGAGTTTGTGTGTGTGTCTGCTAGTGAGTGTGTGTCTGTTAGTGTGTGTGTCTGACTGTTTGTCTGTTAGTGTGTATGTGTGTGTCTGACTGTGTGTCAGTGAGTGTGTGTGTGTATGTGTCTGACTGTGTGTGTGTGTCTGTAAGTGAGTGTGTGTCAGTGAGTGTGTGTCTGTTAGTGTGTGTGTGTGTGTTTCTGTTAGCGAGTGTATGCGGATCTGTCAGTGAATGAGTGTGTGTGTCAGTGAGTGTGTGTCTGTTAATGTGTGTTTGTTAGTGTGTGTGAGTTTGTGTGTGTGTCTGCTAGTGAGTGTGTGTCTGTTAGTGTGTGTGTCTGACTGTTTGTCTGTTAGTGTGTATGTGTGTGTCTGACTGTGTGTCAGTGAGTGTGTGTCTGACTGTGTGTGTGTGTCTGTTAGTGTGAGTTTGTGTGTCAGTGAGTGTGTGTCTTAGTGTGTGTGTGTGTTTCTGTTAGCGAGTGTATGCGGATCTGTCAGTGAATGTGTGTGTGTATTTAGAAGGCGGGGCGGGGGGAAGGGTTGGGGGGGACTGGTGTGGTGGGGGGGGGGGCGCCTGAGTTTTGTCCTGCCTAGGGCAGCACAAAACCAGGATACACCACTGGTCACAAGTAAGAAGTGTAACATATCTATAGAATGGAGAAATAGTAATCAATTCATAGATGCAATTATTATTTCTGTGGCAAGTACATATGAGGAGAAAATACAAAATCTTTCCATTTGGATTGATGTTGGTCTGGAACACAAGGGAGTGGTCACTTATAGTTACTATAGGTACGTCTTATCTCCACCTTTGGGCTGGGCTTGGTAGTCCCCAGGGTATATTTCTAATGATTCTGAAATGTGTCTTTGTACTTGCTGGAGGGGCCAGAATCTAATATTAAGTGAGTTTTACTTTGAAAAGCTGAGTAAGTGATCAGCACTTCTGTTATTTTATCCCTTTTGTTTTTATCTGTTGTTGGTGTAAATAATTTGTTGATCATCTAATTTTTGTATGCACTGTGACTATTTTTTTGCTCATAATAAATATTCCTTTCTTAAGTTCTGCCTTTGTCTGGTTAAGAATCACGTTACCCGAAGAGACTAATTAGTATTTTACAAATACATAGATATTGTGCTAAGTTATATTTGGTGGGTTTTTATTATTAAATTACCTGGGGGACCAAGGCACCCCAGTTATAAATTGTCTTGGTGGTGGCAGCATTAAAATAGTAATATTTATATTATTATGCTTAAGTGTGGGTGGTGTAAAGTGGGATTTTATCATTATTTCTGGTCTAGTGCAGACAAATAGTGAACTTTAACCTTTTCACCACCACCACTAGGTCACGCACACTCTTGAAGTAGGGTGTGTTTGTGACAATTACGATCATCCACTGATCAAACAAAAGGTGTGTTATTCTGTCTTGGAGGGAAGGGCATGGGCAGTCCCACCGCAGGCGGTTATGGACATCTTTACCCAGAGGCTAGCAAAGGCACAGGTGCATAAAGTTGGCCAGGTGTTTGGGAGGGGACCAGTCTCCTGAACGTGGGTGACGGATGTTGTGTGGGTTAAAAAGCTATTGACCAGTAGGATCTAGGATCGCTTCTGTGTCTTCTTGGGCAGTAGCATGCAAGGTACCGTCACCCTCAACCATCTGGGCCACAACCAGAAAAGTCTTGCATACAAATGCAAAGCTATATGTGGATTCCGAACCCTAGTCATCAGAAGCTGATGCCTGCGCGTGGCTTTTGTACATAATGGACAGATAATGGGGTACGATGCGGTCCTCGCCTGAGGAGTGTCTATCCGTGGGGTGGGGCCAGGTGCCAGAGTTGGCCTACTGAGTTTGGTGGAGGCTTTGTCCTTAGACCGTAAAGGACTAGTGCCTTTCGCAATTTCAGTGGTGCTTGCTTTGATGGGGAGACCCATTAGAGGAGACATCCAAGGCATCAGAGTTCGCCCCGTAGTGGGCTCGTCTGGTGGGTGGTATCAGCCCTCCTGTCAGCATATTTGAGAGTATTTTTTCCACAAATGCTGCAACCGCTGCTTGTTTTATGACCCAAAAAAGTAAACAGGTAGATTTAGCATGATTTGGGACACCATTGCAGAATGCACAAATTAGGAGGCAATTGCAGGATTCAGGGCAAACAGACCAGACTACAATAGTAGCAGGCAATGCTCACAGAAACATTACAGGGTTGTAATCTTAACAGTGGCCAAAAATAATAGAATGGGGCTCACCCAGTAAACAAAGTCTGCAACAGCATGCCTCCACTCAGCAGACAGTGAAGCACACTGTCATGGCTTCCGGAATATCTGACCGTGTGGCTGCACTCAAACAGAGCAGCCATGCTGTCAGAGATACTTTAAACTTACCTTGGGCTCAGCGGGTAGCTGTCCGGTCTCTCTCCTTTCCGGTCCCAAGCGGGTGCGACATTCCTAGGAGCGCCGGCCGCTGCGGACCAGGCTTTTATAAGAAACCTACCTTGACCCACGTCAAAGATGGCGCCAGCGTGCCATAGACATGCACATTTTGAGGTCAGAGGTCAGACACAGCCAATTATTTTTTTACTCCATACAAAAAGACAAATCCATCAAGGGCTTCAGCCCTGCACTTAACCATCGTAAAAAACAATCCACAATCAAAATACATCACTTACAACAACACCTTTGGGGGGGTTTTGTGGGGGGCTCCTACCAATAATTTTTACCAAAAATGCAGTTTTTCGATGTGAGGATTTTGTTCAGGTATTTCTTCCATCACTCTCCATTTTTTCAAGCCAATAGTTGCCTAACTCCTGATTTTTTTGGTTTGGCTTAAAAAAATAAAAAGATTCCATCCTTAAATGATATAAAACTTGTGTTTTTAAATGCTCATATATAAACTGCTCCGGGCACTTCCATTTTCGTGCAATGATTCATTTGGCTGCACCCATAAAGTGTACATATATATATATATATATATATATATATATATATACACACACACACACCTCTCTTTAAATTGTAGTTTTTGAATATTGAGCTTTAACAGTAAATTTTCTGTACCTCTGGGAATTTGTTTCCCTATTATTCTTTCTAATCCACAGAGAGCCATTGACCAAAATTCTTTCACCTTCTCACAATCCCACCATATATGCAAAAAGGACCCTTCATCTTTATTGTTGAAATTGGAGAGCTAGAGTTATACATTTTTGCCATCTTCGATGGTACCAAATACCACCTATTCAATTTCTTAAATACCACTTCTAGAATGTTCAAACAGTGTATATTACTGGTTTAACATAACACCTGGCACCACTCTTCATTTGACATTTTAATTTTAAGGCCTTTCTCCCATTTTTGAACTATTGGATTATTATTGGGAGCTTCTATTTTTAGCAAACCAGTCCTAGCTTTAGAAGCAACCTGTTTTACCGTCTCATTGGTTAATAATGCACTTAAAATTTCTATACCCTCTGATGGGTTATAAAGAACTTTCTGTTTTATGAAGTTTTTATCCTCAACTAATTAAACCATTCCTTTGGTGATAATAGAAATTCCTGAGTAATTAACTCGAATGGTTTAATTTTATCATTTAACAATAATATATTGATATACTTTATGCCCTTTCGGGTCCACCCTTTAATATCCAGATCCATCACACATAGTGTAATGTCAGACAGTTTGAAATTGCTCAGAACTTTATTTCCCAACCCACTCTTACATTTCAATGTGTCCCACTCATATCATAATGAATCCAGACGCACGTTGGAGGCACTAGCCTTTTTGATCCGCTCATCCCTTTTGCTCAACCACACCATCTGACTCAAATCTTCTACCCCGCTCATTTCTGTTTCTAGTATAAACCAGCTCGCTTCTTTAGAACTGTATAATTGTGTTTTATACAAATGGAAGAAATATTTGAAAGGTATGTATGATGCACATTAGGGAAGCTTATTCCACCTTCGTGATTGTTCTGCATCAATTGTTTATTAATTCTGGGCCTTTTCCCTTTCCAAATAAAAATAACAAAATCACTTTGTACTATGTCCAACCACGGTTAGGCCATTTTTAAGGGGATCATGCAAAAAAAAATAAAAAAAAATTAAGAACATTTAGGCAACAAATAGGCATTGATCAAATTGATTCTCCCCCACCAAGATAATTCAACATGTCTCCATTTTTTCAAGGAGGCATGAGTATATCTTAAGATATTTTAAACATTTGTTTGCATTATAACTGTTATATTTTTGGTGATTGTTATGCCCAGGTGTGGTAGGGTATTTCTAGTCCAATTAAATGTATAACCTTCTTCCAGATGGGATCTGCTACTGCTATCAATATTAATGGTCATGGCAATTGATTTATGCACATTAATTTTGTGATTTGAAATTAGGCTATATGCTTCCACCTCCTCCATTAGTGCTTCCAGCGATTCGACAGGGTCGGTTAGGGTCAAAATCAGATCGTCTGCATACAAGTTCAGCTTATATTCTTTTTGTTTAATACAGAATCCTTTTCTTAATGGATTATTTCTGATGTTATTTGCCAAAATTTCCATTGTCATGATATAAAGGATTGGAGATAACGGGCAACCCTGCCTGGTTCCATTATGTAATGTGAACCAGTCCGCACAGATGTTTGGGCCCACCATTCTTGCTGTGAGAACATCATATAGTGCCAGGATTGCCTGGTACATCCAACCCTGAATGCCAAATTTCCCCAGAGTCTTGCTCAAGAATTCCCAACCGACCCTGTCAAATGCTTTCTCTGCATCCAACGCTAAGACAAGCAAAGGGATTTTGTTCTTATTGGCAGCATCCAGTATATCTATTATATGCCTCGTGTTATCAACCGCTACTCATCCCGGGACAAAACCTATTTGGTACTTATTTATAATATTGTTCAAAATATCTTTGAGCCTATTAGCTAATATTGCCGAAAAGATCTTTACATCAGTATTTATCAAGGATATTGGTCTGTAACTTTCCACTTTTGATGGGTCTTTATCCTGCTTTGGTATTGGAAGAATGTTAGCTCTGATCATTTCTCTAGGGAAGCTACTCTTAGTAACAATATAATTAAACATGTTGGTCATATGAATACTAATCAAATTTGAAAAACCATCTGGTCCTGGGGTTTTCTTAGATTTAAGT